GTCTACAAGTATGGTAGTGCAGGATGGTAGGTATTGTCTACAAGTATGGTAGTGCAGGATGGTAGATATTGTCTACAAGTATGGTAGTGCAGGATGGTAGGTATTGTCTAAAAGTATGGTAGTGCAGAATGGTAGGTATTGTCTACAAGTATGGTAGTGCAGGATGGTAGGTATTGTCTACAAGTATGGTAGTGCAGGATGGTAGGTATTGTCTACAAGTATGGTAGTGCAGGATGGTAGGTATTGTCTACAAGTAAGGTAGTGCAGGATGGTAGGTATTGTCTACAAGTATGGTAGTGCATAATGGTAGGTATAGTCTACAAGTATGGTAGTGCAGGATGGTAGGTATTGTCTACAAGTATGGTAGTGCAGAATGGTAGGTATTCTCTACAAGTATGGTAGTGCAGGATGGTAGGTATTGTCTACAAGTATGGTAGAGCAGGATGGTAGGTATTGTCTACAAGTATGGTAGTGCAGGATGGTAGGTATTGTCTACAAGTATGGTAGTGCAGAATGGTAGGTATTGTCTACAAGTATGGTAGTGCAGGATGGTAGGTATTGTCTACAAGAATGATAGTGCAGGATGGTAGGTATTGTCTACAAGTATGGAAGTGCAGGATGGTAGGTATTGTCTACAAGTATGGTAGTGCAGGATGGTAGGTATTGTCTACAAGTATGGTAGTGCAGGATGGTAGGTATTGTCTACAAGTATGGTAGTGCATGATGGTAGGTATTGTCTACAAGTATGGTAGTGCAGAATGGTAGGTATTGTCTACAAGTATGGCAGTGCAGAATGGTAGGTATTGACTACAAGTATGGTAGTGCAGAATGGTAGGTATTGTCTACAAGTATGGTAGTGCAGGATGGTAGGTATTGTCTACAGGTATGGTAGTGCATGATGGTAGGTATTGTCTACAAGTATGGTAGTGCAGGATGGTAGGTATTGTCTACAAGTATGGTAGTCCATGATGGTAGGTATTGTCTACAGGTATGGTAGTGCATGATGGTAGGTATTGTCTACAAGTATGGTAGTGCAGGATGGTAGGTATTGTCTACAAGTATGGTAGTCCATGATGGTAGGTATTGTCTACAAGTATGGTAGTGCAGGATGGTAGGTATTGTCTATAAGTAAGGTAGTGCAGGATGGTAGGTATTGTCTACAAGTATGGTAGTGTAGGATGGCAGGCATCGTCTACAAGTATGGTAGTGTAGGATGGCGAGTATCGTCTACAAGTATGTTAGTGTAGGATGGTGGGTATCGTCTACAAGTATGGTAGTGCAGGATGGTAGGTATTGTCTATAAGTATGATAGTGCATGATGGTAGGTATTGTCTACAAGTATGGCAGTGTAGGATGGCAGGCATCGTCTACAAGTATGGTAGTGTAGGATGGCGGGTATCGTCTACAAGTATGGTAGTGTAAGATGGCGAGTATCGTCTACAAGTATGTTAGTGTAGGATGGTGGGTATCGTCTACAAGTATTGTAGTGTAGGATGGCGAGAATCGTCTACAAGTATGGTAGTGTAGGATGGTGGGTATCGTCTACAAGTATGGTAGTGTAGGATGGCGGGTATCGTCTACAAGTATGGTAGTGTAGGATGGCGGGTATCGTCTACAAGTATGGTAGTGTAGGATGGCGGGTATCGTCTACAAGTACGGTAGTGAAGGATGGCGAGTATCGTCTACAAGTATGGTAGTGTAGGATGGCGAGTATCGTCTACAAGTATGGTAGTGTAGGATGGCGGGTATCGTCTACAAATATTGTAGTGTAGGATGGCGGGTATCGTCTACAAGTATGGTAGTGTAGGATGGCGGGTATCGTCTACAAGTATGGTAGTGTAGGATGGCGGGTATCGTCTACAAGTATGGTAGTGTAGGATGGCGGGTATCGTCTACAAGTATGGTAGTGTAGGATGGCGGGTATCGTCTACAAATATGGTAGTGTAGGATGGCGGGTATCGTCTACAAGTATGGTAGTGTAGGATGGCGGGTATCGTCTACAAGTATGGTAGTGTAGGATGGCGGGTATCGTCTACAAGTATGGTAGTGTAGGATGGCGGGTATCGTCTACAAGTATGGTAGTGTAGGATGGCGGGTATCGTCTACAAGTACGGTAGTGAAGGATGGCGAGTATCGTCTACAAGTATGGTAGCGTAGGATGGCGAGTATCGTCTACAAGTATGGTAGTGTAGGATGGCGGGTATCGTCTACAAATATTGTAGTGTAGGATGGCGGGTATCGTCTACAAGTATGGTAGTGTAGGATGGCGGGTATCTTCTACAAGTATGGTAGTGTAGGATATCGGGTATCTCTACAAGTATGGTAGTGTAGGATGGCGGGTATCTCTACAAGTATGGTAGTGTAGGATGGCGGGTATCTCTACAAGTATGGTAGTGTAGGATGGCGGGTATCGTCTACAAATATGGTAGTGTAGGATGGCGGGTATCGTCTACAAATATGGTAGTGTAGGATGGCGGGTATCGTCTACAAATATGGTAGTGTAGGATGGCGGGTATCTCTACAAGTATGGTAGTGTAGGATGGCGGGTATCTCTACAAGTATGGTAGTGTAGGATGGCGGGTATCTCTACAAGTATGGTAGTGTAGGATGGCG